TCTATGTATTAATTCAATAAATAATTAATATGTATGTGTTGTTCTATGTTATATTTGTCTATGTATTTGTCGTTTAATATATTAATCTAGTACTCGCGTACTAGATGAATACATTTTCATAAGAGTTGCAATGCCAACAAATAATTAGATTTATTGTAAGCGTCTTTATATAGGCCCATATTAACATTTTAGTCGGAGGTTATGCATACACGAGTCGTTTCACTTATTTATTTAGGTCTGACTTGCAAATATTTTTTTATAACTGGTTGTTGAGGCCCAAAATGGTCGAAGAGGCATTTAGCCCCGGTTTTACTTGGGGCTAAATGATCAATGATATCTGAAAATCCCGTTGCACTTTTATATAAGCAAGGCTATCTTGGTAAAGCGAGTAAATTTGCGAAAGTAAGGCTGACCTTCATTTCGGGTCAGGAAACTTTTAGGAGAATCTCGAGCAGGTGCAATATCGAGCAGGTGCAATCTCGAGCAGGTGCAATATCGAGCAAGTGCAATATCGAGCAAGTGCAATCTCGAGCAGGTGCAATCTCGAGCAGGTGTGATCTCGAGCAGGTGCAATCTCGAGCAGGTGCAATATCGAGCAGATGCAACCTCGAGCAGGTGCAATCTCGTGCAGGTGTGATCTCGAGCAGGTGCAATCTCGAGCAGGTGCAATATCGAGCAGGTGCAACCTCGAGCAGGTGCAATCTCGAGCAGGTGTGATCTCGAGCAGAGGTGCAATCTCGTGCAGGTGTGATCTCGAGCAGGTGCAATCTCGAGCAGGTGCAATATCGAGCAGGTGCAACCTCGAGCAGGTGCAATCTCGAGCAGGTGTGATCTCGAGCAGATGCAATCTCGATCAGGTGCAATCTCGAGCAGGTGTGATCTCGAGCAGATGCAATCTCGAGCAGGTGCAATCTCGAGCAGGTGTGATCTCGATGTTGCGGGGAACCACTAGCATGTACTGACCATGATCGTTAGTCTACTATACATTGCGTTGGCGAGATAATCTAACACCAGCCTGGCTGCAGGTGATCATGGTGCAAGTTATGAAATCATAATCATGAATAAAATACGCTGAAACCAAAGGTTATTGTAAAGCCTCAGTAAATAAACATTTATTGCAATTAAAGATAATTATTTCGATATAATAAATAACAATAATCGTTCTATTCAATCACAAGGAAGATCCACACCCTGCAGCAATTGTCTTTATAATACAGCAATTGTCTCACTGCTCTATTTAACTTACAGGGGTTATCTTGACGTCTCCAGAGTGGTTCAGATGCTAGCCGCTAAATCATACAATGACAAATAGGTATAGATGCGGTTTTCTTTCAATGACAAATTTTCAAGTAAATATTCCACTCTGCCAACAATCGCGATGATTTCATTTGATGAGCCGGGACCGTTACGGGTGATGGGGATTCAACAGAATCAGCACCGCGGCCAATTAAGTCTATTAAGCTCTCTTAATATTCAAAGAGGTGCAATCTTACATAGAGTTGATTCAATTCGTAATTCAGCACGAAGGATTCACAAAGAAATAATTCACGTCATCACAGGACACTTCAGCACCGTCTGTCTTTACACGAGTTGCATTTTTGGTTCGTAGCAAGGCAATCCTTATGATTGATCAATTCAGTAACACGGCGTTATAACTGATCTTAGGCCTTTACGGATGATCTAGTCATCCAGAAGAAAAGTGACCAAGGAATTGGTGGAAATTCGCGTGAAAAACGGTTGCCTCATTCGTCTCTTGTCCGGTGCTATCTGGCTTCTCCCGCTCGTATCCCTCCTCTTTCACAAACCTATAAATGACGCGATAATCATCGCACACCGGTGCAGAACACCATAAAATTACCGATTACACATAAATAGGAACCTACTAATTATGAATCAACTAATTTGCTATGAATAAAAATCTGAATAATTGAGTATTACAAAAAATAATATATTTTTTTTTCTTTATTTTAACAATTTCGATTACTAAATATTCTTTAGAACTGGAGTCTATACCATTACATCAAGCAGATGCAATCTCGAGCAGGTGCAAGCAATATCGAGTAGAAGCAATATCGAGCAGGTGCAATCTCGAGCAGGTGCTATCTAGCGCAGATGCAATCTCGAGCCCGGTGCAATATCACGTAGGTGCCATTTAGAGCAGATGCAATCTCGAGCAGGTGCAATATCAAGTAGGTGCAATCTCGAGCATCTCAAGCAGATGCAATCTAGAACAGCACCTGCTAATGCTTGTTTCTCTTTACAAATTTAGCTCGAGAACTAACTCAAATAAGATAGAAGGCGATAGATAAATAAACGGCTATGAAGATAACAAAATAAATGGCTTTACCGCGTTCGAGACTTTATTTACTCCAATGAGGTAGCAAAGTAAACGAATCTATTGACATAGGGAAATAAATATACTGATTCAATTACGCGTATCATCACGGAAACGAGAACTTGCGACACGCATACGGGAGCAATATTTTATTTGTATGGCAGGAGGCCCAACAGAATTTGAGAGGGACACTTCTTTCGTCTTTATTGCCTTCGAACAAAATTTCGCTGCTCTATTCAGATATTTTATTTTCCCAAATACGCAAAATTACAGTAAAAAAAGTATTGCAGAATCCTTCTTAAAATTCATAAAAACACGAGAGAACAATGAGCAAAAAGTAGCCCAGCCAAACGTTTTTCACTAATTAAATTTATTTGTTTTCATAACAAAATTCTAATCGCGGTTATTAAAGTTAATCAATCTAAAGAATCCGAATTCTAATTGTGTTGAACACCTCAACAGTTAAAAGTTCACTGAGTGAAACTTGACATGAGTAGCGCAATGTAACTTTCTCACGTGAAGGTCAGCTATTCCTGTGACATCACCGACGCTGAAACTGAGACCTCGCCGCTGTCAAGCCCGCGCGAGGGAAAGCCGCTGAGGGAAAGCCTCTCAGTGTCAATGTCAGGGGGGGGCCCTGGGGTGGGGTGAAGAGAGGCAGGTGTGGCTGAGGGAAGGAACAGGAGAGACAGGCGTAGTTTAGGGAGAGGGAGAGGAGGAGAGGCAGGTGAGGCTCAGGGAGGTGGAGGAGAGGCAAGTGAGGCTCAGGGAGAGAGAAAAGAGAGGCAGACAGCAGCGCCTTTATCGTGTTGCGTAACTAATTACATTAACGCCGCCACGGTAGTAGTTTTATACAGTCATTAAAAATCAATACATTATTTGGCGAATAAAATATCTGGTAAAACATCAACATAACATGGTAAAGCATCAATAATATACAGTAAATAAGCATCAACTATGAGAAGTGGAATTCGAAACAATGAAAATAAATAGAGACGTGAACCCCAAAATTTTTGATATAGAGTATATCACTCTTATATAGTTAGCGTATATATGGTCGCCGCTCACCGCTAACATTTCAAATTAGCAACCTGTGTGTAGTATTGCTGCTAATTATATTCCTTAACACGCTAATAATCAGCGCTTTAAGTAGAGAGACTGATTGCATTTACCAATGGGCTGCTGTGACCAGGCGGGTGGCGTGTGAAGACAGGTGCCAGGTTAACTTATACAAGGCATTACGCATTTTTATCAATTTAAAAATAACAAATTATGAATTCTTCTATTTTTCGTATACCACTAGAAAGGAAACCAGTAAGGGAAACAATAACTTAACCTGTATTTCAGCCAGGTGTGAGGAAACGTTTAAAGAAGAGGTTAAGGACTGTTGAGTTAGAAGCTAGTAAAGTTTCCTAACATATTCAATTAATAACATGGACCCCATTTATAAATATCATAACAGGGTTGCATAATCAGTCAAGCCATAATAATTTTATGGCTTGACTGACAGGATTCAACTCTAAAAAACTAAAATGGTGTTGTCTTGATGTGATATTGAAATAAAGGATGCTTCAATTTTGAGGGCTAAGTTGACTGTCAGCTATAAAACGAGAAATTGAAAACTTTCTTGGGTAAAATTGGGCTTTTGAGAACTAAATCAAATTTTTATTGATAGTGAAAATCCTATTAATTAAAATAGGGTCCCTGGAATTAAAAAAAAAACATTTTTCTTTGGGAAAACGTCGACTGAAGTGTTGCCAAGGTCAAACAACAAGTTTTTCTTAGAAATTTTCAAAATGAATAAAAATTGACAAATTATCAAGCTCTCTTATCATTACTAATAACACTTATAAGTAATATTACATGGTCCAATAAAATTGATAAACTTCATTACCTGAAGTATCCGAAACCGAAATAAATGGAAAATATTACTTATTAGTGAAAGTTTTCAATAACACAATTGTGCAAATAAAGTAATTCAACTTGAAAATTTATAATTTCTTTATATTCTGTACAAAATGAAATGGGTTCCAAATGAGTTTAAACTTGATTGCTAAATGAGTTCTGGCTAAGTTCCCGAGATATTCGTGCGGAAAGCGCACTTAATTCGAGTGGGTCCCAATTATTTTGCTCTATGCTTTCACGTCTCTCTCATCATCATTGAAGTTCTCCCGAGGTTAGACGATAATGATAATAAGTTAAAATGTTAGGCGTAAAAATGATGCTTGTGATAAAATATTATTTAAAAGAAATTGAACGCTATAAATAAAACGATGAAAAGTATTTCTTATTAAAGATTTTTGAACAATTCAAGTCTATTTGCCAACGTAATTAGTTTCGATATAGCAAAAATACATTTGTTAAAAAATTTTTGTATAAAACTGTTTTACACACCCATTTCTAAATATTAAAAAAATCCTAGCGCAGAAAAAATTCTATATTTTCTTTATGATATCATTTCTTGCTTCTTCATGTTATTCTCAACAGAAAAGCAGCTTCAGAAAGCGAGTCTGAGTATTTTCACCGCGCACTCACAGTCTGCCATGACCCTGCATCATCGCAAGAAGGCAGTCTTTTATTGCCATGTTGATCTGAAGTTTCGTTGCCAGAGAAACCTGGTGAGTGTTCACGTATCACGGATACCTGGTGAAGGCCGCGGTCGTGAGCAGAGCTTTAAAGCAGCCACGGCGCTCACGGCAAGTCAGTGAGTGAGACTCATCCACACGACATGGTGAGTTTGGCTGAGTCTTGCACTCCTGGCTGATATTGTGCACTATTTTAATATGGCGATGCGACTTCCAATTTCACTTCGAAATTAATAATATCAGTGCAAATTAAAATATAGAACTAAAAACCGCATCATCCAAATTTAGTCATGAAAGCATAGCTTTTTGCATGTTGAAAATACAGTAACTTGAATTACAGTAATATAAAAATACAGTAAAAATTCTAAAAAACATTAATAGAATTTCTAAAGATGATTGAACAATTACCCGATTAAAAAATAACTGATAATACATACCGTGTTTTGTTACAGACGCGGATGAATTTATTGGCTCTGGTGGCGACGTTCGTGGCTGCGGTTGCAGCGGACGGTGAGTGTCAAGCTGATAATCCTAGTGAATAAGCTGACAATCCTAGTACATAATGATAATCCTAGTAAATAAACTGATAATACAAGTAAATAAGCTGATGATCCTAGTAAATAAGCTAATAATCCTAGTAAATAAGCTGATGATCCTAGTACATAATGATAATTCTAGTAAATAAAGTGATAATACAAGTAAATAAGCTGATGATCCTAGTAAATAAGCTAATAATCCTAGTAAATAAGCTGATGATCCTAGTACATAATGATAATTCTAGTAAATAAAGTGATAATACAAGTAAATAAGCTGATGATCCTAGTAAATAAGCTGATAATCCTAGTAAATAAGCTGGTGATCCTAGTACATAAGCTGATAATCCTAGTAAATAAGCTGGTAATCCTAGTACATAAGCTGATAATCCAATTAAATAATGATAATCCTAGTAAATAAACTGATAATCCTAGTAAATAGGATGATAATCCTAATAAAAAAGCTAATAATCCCAGTAAATTATGCCGGAATTTTGTGTTGCAGGCATTTTTTTACATTAATATCATTTTGTGCGTAAGGGAATTCAAGCCCATGGAAATTAAAGCTGATGTCAACAGCAAATCCTCAATAAAATAATCTTATGAGCGTAGCAACGTACGTCGGAACACAACATCGCAAACTTCAAATCCTTTAATCCATGTGCAGGTGGACACCACGGGGGTGGAGGATTCGGTGGCGGTGGATTTGGTGGTGGAAAGGGCCATGGCGGTGGATTTAGTAGTGGAGGATTTGGTGGCGGTGGGTTCGGTGGAGGAAAGGGCCATGGCGGTGGATTTAGTAGCGGTGGATTTGGCGGCGGCGGATTCGGAGGTGGAAAGGGCCATGGAGCTGTAATAAGCTCTGGTGGATTCGGCGGTGGAAAGGGTCACGGTGGTGGATTCAGCAGCGGTGGATTCGGAGGAGTAAAGGGTCATGATGGTGGATTCGGAGGTGGGAAGGGCCATGGCGGTGGATTCAGCAGCGGTGGATTCGGCGGTGGTGGATTCGGAGGCGGAAAAGGTCATGGCGGTGGATTCAGCAGCGGTGGATTTGGAGGCGGAAAAGGTCATGGCGGTGGATTCAGCAGCGGTGGATTCGGCGGCGGTGGATTCGGAGGCGGAAAAGGTCATGGCGGTGGATTCAGCAGCGGTGGATTCGGAGGCGGAAAGGGTCATGGCGGTGGATTCAGCAGCGGTGGATTCGGAGGCGGAAAGGGTCATGGCGGTGGATTCAGCAGCGGAGGATTCGGCGGTGGTGGATTCGGAGGCGGAAAGGGTCATGGCGGTGGATTCAGCAGCGGCGGATTCGGTGGAGGTGGATTCGGAGGCGGAAAGGGTCATGGCGGTGGATTCAGCAGCGGTGGATTCGGTGGAGGTGGATTCGGAGGTGGAAAAGGTCACGGTGGCGGATTCAGTTCTGGTGGATTTGGTGGCGGCAAAGGATTTAGCGGTGGCATCCACCACTAATAATTGCAAGTTTTTATAGGAAAAATGCAACATTTTACCCTGCGCTGCACTTTGTGTCGTCTGACAGATAACCAGTCGTTGAAATCGCGGCAAAATTTCAAGTCTTTCAAGAATTTTGTAAATCTAAGATTTTGTAACGAGTGTTAACAGCTCATTAAAGTACAATTAGAAATTTCCAATTATAAAATTTCGGTCACATTTACATTGATGCAATACACAATCGCTGAATGTGCTTATCGCTGAATAGCTGAATTTGAATGACTGAAATTCATGTTTACGTTTATAGTTTTGTTTAATAGCTTCATCATCAAGAGTTGTTTATAAGCCTGAATGAGAGCTTAAATGAGAGACTATCATTGGCCCATCTGTAATTCATTGTGACAAGATGTTATCAAATAAAATGTAACAGTTAATTTAAATGAACTATTTTCATTTGACCTCTAAATAACGTTGATTGATATAGTCGTGTTAACGGAATCAGCTTGAAATTGACGTTATTTCAATGTTGTTTGCTTCTAGGATTATAATATTATCTCAGAATAGATTTTTCTCCGAAAATAATTTTATCTATCTAAAAAAATATAAAATTATCTCCGAAAATAAGATTTTTCTACGCGAAAGTTTGAATTCAAAATTTGGTCATTATATTTCTTATTTTTACTTCTGAAAATATCTTTGGCATTTGTTGCACATCAATCATTGTTGTGAATATTTTAACCACTTGACCATTTAGTTATAACGTTTGCATAACATTTTCGGCCAGAAAGAACTAAGAATTTAAATTACTATCTTATCCTTCGAATATGTGACAAAATATACTGCAACATACTAAACAACATTTTTATTCTATTGGCTATAGCGCAGCATGTCCAAGACTATTAAGGCAGAATGCCTAAGTCATATCAGGCGGCCCTCATCAACGCTTGTACAAAATATTAATTTGCACCACGACATGCTGAAAAATTATGAAAACATATGTGGACGAAAGTATATCGATCGTACCATACGCTGCAGTTAATGAAAGAAATAACTACATTTTTCATTCACACTTTTACTGGTTGTTAGAAAAGAAATTCAAAATTTTCCTTATAATTTTTGAGGTAAATGAACTGGAGTACAGACACTGAGTATGTATATTGAATTAGCCTTACAAGACTCCAGACCGGTCTAGACTGCGCCCGGGCATCTTCCACACTTCCATCCATCTATGTGCAATAGAAACGAAGGATTACATATGACAAATGTAAAATGTGATCTAATTACCTGTAGCCATGTAGAGTAAAAGCAAAGAAGGAAATATCAAATTATAATTCCATATGTTGAAAATTTAACGACACATTGAGGTATTTTGCTCAGACGATCACATTGAGAGTGGACCCGTACAGGCCAGATTGAGGCGCGGCGCTATCAGCTGCTGAGGTCATGTATGAGGTACGGCAGAGTCGAGCCTGCTCGTAAGGCGTCTGGTGATCCATTGCCACTCACCTTATGACAAGTTAAGGACGTCGTCGTCCACGGTCACGCTGATGTGCCGCTTCTGTCGTCCTCCTTGGCTCGTAAGCGTCCTGTGATCCATTGCCACTCACCTTGTGACAAGTTTAATACGTCGCCGTCCACGGTCACGCTGATGTGCCGCTTCTGTCGTCCTCCTTGGCTCGTAAGGCGTCTGGTGATCCATTACCGCGCACCTTATGACAAGTTTAATACGTCGCCGTCCACGGTCACGCTGATGCGCCGCTTTTGTCGTCCTCCGTCTCCAAGACGTTTTTAGGCAGGTTTCCCCGCTCCCGTGTCCCGTAGTTAATGTTGAGCGTGTACCGTATATCTGACCTTATTTGAGCCAACAGATGCAGGATGCACTTGCTTGCCACCTACACTAAACAGAGTGACTAAAATATCCTAAAAAATAAGGAATCACGCTACTGGAATGGAATTTGGAAATTTAATTTGTTCGGTGTTGTAGTCACACATTTTGCGGCATAATTCCGAAATTGCAGGAAAATTTTGTAAATAAAACTTATTTTATCACTCGACCATTTCTTTGCCCTTAATCAATTTAATAGAATTTAATAGCGCATTTTATCCCTTTTTTAATGCAAAACATGATTCCAGGAAGTCTCATCGATATCGGACACTAATAATCATTTTGTTTTAGGAGCGGCAGAACTAAACGACTGCTCACGGTATCGATGGTTAAATATTCAGAAATTTCAGTTTTAAAGCGCTCACTAAGCGCTTTTCTCCCGCGTTCATTCAGAGAAGTTATTGCCGTTGATGGTTCCATTCGTTCATTACTATTAAAAGCAAAAATACATAAGTTGCAGATATTTCGTGATTCATTCTTAATGCGATGTTGTACAGAAAAATAGTCATGGAAAATTATTTAATTTTTGGAAATATCTCGTCAAGACACCATATGTCTTACACAAATAACAAAATCGTCTGTTTTAAACCGATAACGTAACCGCATGTCTTTCGAAGATAACGGAATATTACGGCTTAGAAAGATGGTGAATCGAATGCCATAGATATTTCGCGTTACAATAAGATTTCAGACAGGACAAAACTATGTTCTTGTATCAGGAAAATTATGAAATGGATAGCGAATTAACCTTTCACCTCAACATTACAATACGAAATACGCAACACTGAATCGTAAATACGAATGAACAACGACACACATTGAAGACTCCACTCTACTGAAATTTTCATCAACGAAATCGAAAATCCAGAGATTAAAACATATTAACTTCCACAATCTTTCTTGTCTCAAAATTATTATCAATTGTAAATAGGTGTTGCCTCCATATGAGAGTTCACACTTTATTCAAATCGTGTTTTGATATATTCAAATATAGACATTATCGTACTCATTGAAAAACCTGAATTAATAATCAAGGTAAATGAATAAGAAAATCAGGCGAATCAGTAGAGAAGGAACAATAAACGATCAATTAATTACTGGCGCAATGAAATATTATGGTTTTATTTTTAATCTTCGAAGCGGACAGCAATGAATTAACTCGAACGTGCCAACGATACTTCATAGCCAAGTCTTTTTTAATACATTGTAAAATAACATGCAAAATGAAGACGTTTAAAGCGACATAATCTAAATGAGCCCTGCAGAATAGGTTTTTTTACGTTTGTCATTTGAAATATATTTAATTTATTTTGTTCCGCGATTTCAAGAAGCCTTGTAAATTGGATCGACTTTAGATCGACTGACGAAAAAACTTTAGACACAAACTTAGATATTAGCCAATGTTCCCGCCAATAAAAATAGCGATGAGCTGACACAAATGCATAACGTACGGTAATTATTTGAACCTACAACCAGCCACTATATTAAACGAACTACGAGATACATGATGGTTGAAATAAATAACCTTCCTGATCAAATTTCACAAAAAATATGCCGCTAGCTGTGATCATTATTGTATACATGCCGGCTTTAAATTAGAGAAGTTCTAGCGTAAAAACGCTTTCCTTAAATTACAGCGCACTGCTTTTCGGTATGACCTGGGTCTTTTGGGATTCCCGACTTTCTTTTTACGCGAGGGGGGACTCGAGAATTCGTTGCTCACTAAAACAAAGTAGAAAACGATTCAAGTAAATCAAACTTTTGAAATTGGGAGGGCGATAATGTAGCATTAGGCAAAAAATATACGCTACTGCTTCAACTTACGTGAAAAAAGTTTCACAGGTTTCGACTGATTAATATATTATGGTTCACGAAGTGAAGTTGATTGGAACGAACGAACCAAATTAGAAGCTTCCACATAGTGACATAGGTTAACATTAATACTCATACGTATGAAGCAGCTGCATATAAAAAGATTTTATTTTTTAAATTAATCTTCAGTTCCAATCAAAGCATTACAAAAATACAAATAATATTCATAACCCAAGTGTATATGAATGAAAACAAAGGATCTGACTGACTACATTAGGCAAGATGGCTCGCATCAACAAATAATATTCAAATATCACCGAAGCTTGAATTTGTTTATTTATGAAATGCTCGCTTCTTCAGCATAGTACTAGATGAAAAAAGCCACAGAACAGGAAATGGAATAGGAAATGGGCCGTGTCAAAGGAAAAGGGCAGAATAATTGTATAGGCACAACTCAACGCTGTTATAACATAGTGATCTCGGCGTTGAAGTGTAGGCCTGATGTGGCCTGTGTGGCCAATTATAACAGACGCAGGAAAGTTTCTGAAAATCGGCAACTCAAAGAAGTGTTAGTTATGCAGCAACACAAGATCTATTCATTAGTATAGAGTTGATCAATACCCGGTACAAAAAGACAATAGGAATAATGTTTTTATATTAATATATTTTGCTATATTTTGAATCTAGGTAATCAGCCTTAAACTGATCAAATGCTGTTTATTTCGGATGCTTGCAGGCTTGGTAATTATTTCAGTTTGTGGTAGAAAATTAAACCTAATGTATCCCTGATTATGAACATTCCAACTTTCATTCCAAATATGTTCAGTGAAACGAACTATACATGTGAAGTGTTACAGCTCGCGGAAGCAAGTATCGGAATATGCAAGCACTGCATGGTATCCTATGACCCCGCCTCATGGTCCGTTTGGAGCCACTTATTTTCATGATGTTGATCAGCAGGAAATGCATGGTGCATGATTAACCCGTTATATTCTTCCGTATTACGGATAAATCGTGAAGGCCACGGTCGTGAGCAGAGCTTTAAAGCAGCCACGGCGCTCACGGCAAGTCAGTGAGCAGACCTCGTCCACACATCATGGTGAGTTGGCCGCGTCCTGTATATTCAGCTGCATATATAATATTACATCAGCAGTTATTAAATTTTCCGGTAATTATAAAGTTTTCTACTTGTCTAATGTGTGCTTCCTGAACCAAAAATGCAGCGTCGTATAATCGAAGAATAACCGCAATAACTTAATTTTTGGGAAATTCATTGCGTTGACGAGGAAATATAGTTCTTTGATTAAATCAATTGACGGGATTATATAACATTCAATTTTATAGTCATTCAACTGTTTTAAGTTTTCTACCTAAAATTCGAATGGCCTTGTACTAAAATACATATTCATAGCGTACAATTACAATGTTGTTCATTACATTAAAACATTTTTTATACTATATATTTGCAAAATCAGTAGTGAAAAAGTCAACTCATACCTACAAAAAGTGATTTATATTTTCAATTTCTGCACAATCATATTGTATTTCAACAATGACAATTCATTATGCGTACTTCGCTTTTACTTTAAAAAGAATTACCTTAAAACGAAATGCAACATTACAATGAAATGCGAACCAAAATGCCCTTACAGGATGTTTTCTTCAAATAAAAATGGAAAATTTTCTCCCCTGATATAGAAAGGTCACTTAGAGTTCCCAAAAGATTCCTTCAATAACTTTCTTTTGTTTGAAAATAATGCAAAAATTCGCGAGGTTTTTAATTGAGTCCCGTGTATTATGATCTCGCAGCGTCCCGTTTAATATGATGACATGAGAATCTTTTAGAGTCCAGTAATATATGAGAAATGGTGACGAGTGCATGAAAACAAAATTTGAGAAGTTATACAGAGCCAGTTCTCTTTATACTACTATTTTAATGTTATTCCAAACTATTTTTAACACAAAGTTCCACGCTCATGTTTTGTTATGATATTTATTCGCAGTTCGACATTAGTGCATGAAAATTCAAGAAATAATCTGAACAAACCATAATCCGATCGTCACTGTCGGTAATCGGGATTTAATAATAATTTGAGAAATCCATATGAAAAAAAAAAAAAGACAACTTTACGAGAAAAAACAAGCGAGAGAATTCTAATGTTTCAAATAATTTATTTAGGCGAAACAGACGATCTAGAACCAACGCTGAAAGATAATCACTGGACAAACAGCAGTGCGACTAGAGTTGCACGGTTTCCATTATTTTTAATAATATTAATACTTTTTTTTTACAGACACGACTAACTTTCTTCTTCGCATTGGTGGCCATCTTCGTGGCTGCTGTCGCCGCTGGGGGTGAGCGACATTATTAAAACTCCTTATTCACTGAATAATAATCTGGATGCAGCTGAATACGTTATAAGTGCTTTTAATTATATAATTAAAATTATAAGCGTAAGGCGTGATAGACGTGTTATATGCGTTTTACGAGATAGTTAATTTTTGTTTGGAGCTCACGGAGCTGTAGAAGATGTGCACGGCGCACGATGACGAGCGTCCGGCATCCATGCAGTTCTAGTGCAATTCCCCAACCCGATTTAATCCAAAGTTAATTTAACAGGTGGATTTGGAGGCGGAAAAGGATTCGGAGGAGGCGGATTTGTTGGTGGCAAAGGATTCGGAGGAGGTGGATTCGGTGGTGGCAAAGGATTCGGAGGAGGCGGATTCGTTGGTGGCAAAGGATTCGGAGGAGGTGGATTCGGTGGGGGCAAAGGATTCGGAGGAGGTGGATTCGGTGGTGGCAAAGGATTCGGAGGAGGTGGATTCGGAGGTGGCAAAGGATTTGGAGGTGGTGGGTTTGGCGGTGGAAAAGGATTCGGTGGAGGTGGATTCGGCGGTGGCAAAGGATTCGGAGGAGGTGGATTCGGTGGTGGCAAAGGATTCGGAGGAGGTGGATTCGGAGGTGGCAAAGGATTTGGAGGTGGTGGGTTTGGCGGTGGAAAAGGATTCGGTGGAGGTGGATTCGGCGGTGGCAAAGGATTCGGAGGAGGCGGATTTGGAGGTGGATTTGGTGGTGGAAAGGGATTTGGCGGCGGATTCCATCATTAATAACTGTGAGTAGATCCTGTGGCATTTAGCAAACTTTCTGAAACGACTGTTATTCTCAATATGAATATTTTTGACTTTCTATGAAGATCGATTTATTTTTCCATTTTTTCACTCATTTGATGTTTTTTAACTCTCTAACTATTGAGAACGTGCAGTATCGGTTATTAACTTAATTTTACTGACATTTTACGATGTTGTTCAGACTGTTTTGAAACGGCTATAAAAAATATCTTAACTTTTTGTGCTTAAACATTAAAAATACTTTTGATTTTTGTTTTAGAATATAATAATTTCCATATTATTGACCATTTTGATTTTTCCACTTTCAGTGCAGGAGAGACGGGCTGCTAAAGTCATCGCGTGCAGCCGCGTCGACGCTACCGCAAGATATTTATGATCGACTTAATAGAAAAAAGTCATTAAAAAACATCTAAGAACTATAAGAACAATAAATATGAAAATAAAATGAACAAATGATTGTGTGGTTTAAATCCAATTCACTTTTTTTTGAATATTAGAGCCTCTTTATAGATTTGCATCGGATGAAAAAGTTCATTAATAGCTGCTAATAAATGAAATGGAAGGAAATGTAATTAAGTCTTGCAGTTGGTAAAGCTCCGAAAATTTTCAACTAATTTGTCCATCTGATGCATGGAGCAGCTGAGGTTCAATGCGCTGTTGAGGCTCATAGAGTTATCATGGAAATTGAAACTCACTCTAGAACAGTTAAACATAACAGTGCAGGTAGAATTGCAGATGCTCTGCTCGTGTATACAAACAACATAACAACTGGTTTAAGAATGCTTTAGGATGATTTCAAACAGTAAAACTGTTTTTTTATGGATTCAAGCAATTTATTTCGTGACGCTGAAGATTTTAATTAATTAATTCTTCGCTAAGATAAGAAAATAAAATTTTCTAAAATAAATGTTTTTCTATGAAGAACACAGAACGAAAATTTCACTTTTACTGATTAACTAATTAAGTAACAAAAATCGTACTATAAACAAGAGATTTTGAAACTAGTGTACGAACTGAATATCAGAACTGTTAGTAAAAGCAATGCGGAGATGACGCTAGAGCAACAAGTAAGTATGAATACGATGTCTCTACAATACAAATTTTGTTTTCAATCCATTCAGGATGAGAATTTGACCCTATAGCAACGATTGTCAGTAATTAGATTTACAATGGAATTTTGCCTATCACTCTTAAAATTTCGGAAATGTGGGAGTGCTTGCTTTACCGCTTTCGTGTAAAGCGAGTCATGGAAGATTCATCGAAATCCATCAAGCATTTTAGTTTAAGCCGACGTGGCTCCTTCTCTTCAAGGTAAAAATCACTTTTTCATTAAAATTAAAACGACGGACGCATGTCTATTTGTGATTCCGAATGCAGAAATAAAACTTAGCTAGTTAAGAACGGACAGCTGTTTCACGAAACTATTCAATTCCATAAATTGCTCCAAAAAAGATTTTGAAAATACAGTAGGAATTAGACGAAATTTTCAGTTTGGAAAATATAAATTGACCCACTGGTAAGAGCTAAATGGCCAATAACTACTTAACAAAAGACGACTTAAGTATTAAAATCACTTGGCTGCTTAAGTCTCAAATTTACCAGGAATTTAAAAGTAAAGAAAATAGCTTAAGAAAATACGACTTGGTTTTCTCTGCTCACTTGTATCCGCAAGTCCTCAAATCTGCACTCTCTTACAGGAAGACAATATAAAATAAATAACGTTAAGTAACAAATTAATGAGCACAAGTCAAAGTATGAACAAACACTTCTCTCACATTAACTGATTAATGTATCCATGCAGAATATATTAGAGAAAAAATAACACAATGAAATAATCACTAAATGATAAATAAAGGTTCTAGCCTCAAACCAAGTTAAGACGCACCTTGACATAGTTGATTCGAAGGCAGGACTGAATAATATGTAAAGTAAAAACGAAAAATACCAGAGTATACAAATTTAAAAAAATTGAATCCTGTGTTACCTTAACAATTTCAAATCATAGACTTAATATTAATATTAGTACCTATTTTAGTAATATTTACTTAGAATATAAGTTAATACTGCAAATGCGTTGATGACATAATAATTTTGAAGAACTTTATTGCGTTTACCAATTTAGTTAACAACTACACCGATCAAAATTCTTTTCTTGGATTGCTAACTCCCAAAATTATAATTATCTTCCGATCGATTCATGATACGAACTCGAGCGAACTTTGTGATCCAACTCTGTCTATCGCGAAGCCATCAACAAATCAATGTTAACAAGATGAATTTGTAAAATAACAAACTCATCATGTCAATAAGATGATTGCGAAGTAAACCAACGGCGGGCGATGAAGAGCTTGACATATTCTGTTAAATAAGACCACGTCATTTCTCCCACCGCCGGACATGAGCTCCGTAACACAGCGCGGTCTCTGTGTGCTTTGTCTGGATTTATTTTCATGAATGTTGGCTGTCGGAGTCAACTGAGTGGCACAGAAATTTAATAAATGCTTCAAAAGTTCCTAGAAATAATGGAAATGTGAAAAAGATACTCCAAATTTAATATAAGAAAGTTCTTGTATCAAAGTCAGGCAACTAAGTGGGGTCAATTTGCTACTCCACGTTACAGCAGGCAGTCCCTATATAGTGTCACGGTTTGGTCTTGATAACCTGCTTCTCTTCGCACGCGACCTCACAACCACTTCATAGTTAACCTTTTTTTGAGGTGCACGATTAATTGCCACAAAAAACCTTCGTCTGACAAAAGCTTCTCTCAATAAATCGCACAAATTCTTTCAACCCCAAAGCTTCAAAGCATATGATATTCAAAACAAAACCTCTAAAATTAAATGACGAACTCTCAAAATAATAATAAAAAAATTTTCATTGCTTTGAATTATGAAATATTAGTAAATGACGCTCGCCAACGAATAATAGTCCATGATATCACTCACTCAGAAAATTTATATTTAGGACTTTGTCCAAGAGGTGATGTTTCCACTGAAATCACACGAGTTCACTCAGGGGCTTGAAACTTTGGATGCAAGAAGCTCCTCGCTGCTTCATCGCTAGACTCGTCCAAAGGCACAGACGGAGATATAATTCAATCTAAAGCTTTATTTTGAATGTTCAAATTGACCTGTATTTTGACGTTGTTCAGGTAAAATATTTCCAGGATGCATGATAAAACATTAAATAGGATCACATTTAAAAACGAAAATGAATAGATGGACATTCATAGATATGGAAATAGTTAACAATCATTGCAAAATTGTATAAATATAGATTAATCGGATGATAGCCTAGAGTATAATGCACCGTTTTTTATTCATTAACTTCATTTTACACATAATTTTATTTGACAAACCATATTCCAAAAATCAAGACTCACTCTAGAGTGGAGTAAGAAATCAGGAAATTTTTTCAACGAATAGCAATTAATGAATCAAAAAAAAATATTCAAAAAGATCATCCATTGTTCACATTGCTCGGAGCCGCCGTTCAGTAAATGTAATTAAAATTAAACATAGTATGTAATTTCACATAGACGCTTCAAGTGACATTTTTGTTTGGACCTTCAGTTACCGCTTTCCTTGTACCGTAGCTTAACTGGAAGTTTATTTCTCATCTATTATTCAAATGTGCCTTATAGGAGAGAAATATATCGATAAGCAAGCTCCACGCTCTTTCTAATTTGTCCATAGTTCATTATCTGAAATAGTCTTGCTGAATCTTGCACTGAAATTGTCGAATTATGGAATTATTTGCTAATTTTTAGCATTCTGACTTTACAGAAACTACATGTTGTCTGAAGACATTGAATAAGACTCTCTGTAAGCAAATGTGTTGAAATTTCGAAGGGCTTACAACAGCCTTTTAGTAAACTGTAACAGCTTGCGGAAGAATTAAGGTATCAGCATTTGCAAGCATTGTATGGTATCCTATGACCCCACCTCATGGTCCGTTTGGAGCCACTTATTTTTGATGATATTTGATTTTGATGTTGATCAGCAGGAAATGCATGGTGGTGAGCCCGTTATGTTCTTCCGTATCACGGATACCTGGTGAAGGCCACGGTCGTGAGCAGAGCTTTAAAGCAGCCACGGCGCTCACGGCAAGTCAGTGAGCAGACCTCGTCCACACACCATGGTGAGTTAACTCTATTCAGCTCCTCATGAATTTAAAGGACATAATTAAATATTTTCGTTAATTTTAAATTGCCTTCTGAAATACTTTAAAGCTTCTAACTTACTAAGCAGACTGTATAGTATTATTATTTTATGTGTAACTCACATTAGCTAACCTGCTAACATGTTAATATTGTACAATATTTTCAAATTGATGAGAAGGGTTAAAAATTCTGAAATATCTCTAAATTGCTGCCGCACTTGAATGAGAAACGCTTCGAAACGTATACGTATTACATACTTTAAAGCTGTTTGATTGACGTGTTAAAAATTAGATTTTAAGATTTTAGTAAACACAATATTAATCTATCAATGCTGAATTATCGTCAAGTGACCGAACAAAGTTAGATAAACGAACAATATTTAAATGTAAAATTTTTCCGTAACAGGCACGTATTACCTTCTTCGTTTTGGTGGCCACCTTCGTGGCTGCTGTCAACGCAGGAGGTAATTTGAAATTATGTTTTAATTTCTAAATCTTGATTTCTGGGTTCATCGTTACTATCAGGGTTCATCAGGGTTCATCTTGATATCACTGAATTTAGAAAAAAATCTTAAATTTCTGAAATAATTTCAAAATTCAAGGCATTTGTATTACTTCCTTGTAAATAAATTTTTGATTTTCCATGATTTCTTAATTTTCTTTGCGTATGCAATGATGCGATGAGCCAGGAAATTTTACAATTCCTTCATTTAAATTAGAGCAACATGTCAATGTCGAGGACGACTCTCATCGATCCTTTTTTATCATTTTTCTGAATTAACACGTCCTTTGAACATGATTTACATAATGTAAAAGCACTATATGGCAAGCACATATCGAACACTAATTTACCTCGAGTTGATTTTACAGGTGTTCACCACGGCGGTGGATTCGGTGGCGGAAAAGGATTCGGAGGAGGCGGATTCGTTGGTGGCAAAGGATTCGGAGGCGGCGGATTTGGCGGTGGCAAAGGATTTGGAGGCGGCGGATTTGGCGGTGGCAAAGGATTTGGCGGTGGCAAAGGATTCGGAGGAGGCGGATTTGGCGGTGGCAAAGGATTCGGAGGAGGCGGATTTGGCGGTGGCAAAGGATTCGGAGGAGGCGGATTTGGTGGTGGCAAAGGATTCGGAGGAGGCGGTTTCGGTGGTGGCAAAGGATTCGGTGGTGGATTTGGTGGCGGTAAAGGATTCGGAGGCGGTGGATTTGGAGGTGGATTCGGCGGTGGAAAGGGATTCGGTGGAGGATTCCACCATTAATAAAT